ACCTAGGAATTACGAGTCAAAATATTAAATCAACAGTCTTAAATATGCTCAATGAGCTAGTTGGACAGCAAAATAAAGGAAATCAGAGTAATATATGAACAAATCAGTAATGAGACAGAAATTATAAAAAGGAATGAAATAGAAATTCTGGAGCTGAAAAATACTATTGATGATATGGAAATTTCACTAGATAGCAATACACACCTATGAGAATGACCAAAATCCAGAACACTGACCATGCCGAATGTTGGTAAGGATCTGGAGCAACAGAAACTCATTTGAGGCTGATGGGAATACCAAATGTTACAGTTGCTTTGGAAGACACTGTGGTAGTTTCTTACAAAACTAAACATTCTCTTAACATACAATCCAGCAACTGTACTCCTTGGTATTTATGCAAAGGAGTTGAAAACTTATGTCCGCACAAAAACCTGCAGAGCAATGGTTATAGCACCTTCATTCCTAACTGCCAAAACTTAGAAGCAACCAAGAAGTCCTTCCGGAAGTGAATGGACAAACAAGCTGTGGTACAGACAATGGAATACTCTTCAGCATTAGAAAGAAGTGAGCAAATACAGCTATGAAAAAACATGGGGGAAATTTAAATGCATATTACTAAGGAGAAGAAGCCCATCTGAAATGATTACATCTTGTATGAATTCAGCTATATGAGTCTGGAAAAGGCACAACTGTGGGGAAAGTATAAAGATCAGTGGTTGCCAGGGGTTAAGGGAAGGACAGGATGAACAAACAGTGTGCTTAAGGATTTTACGGCAGTAAAACTTTAAGTATGATACTATAAAGGTGGATATATGTCATTATAAATTTGTCCAGACTTATAGAGTGTACAACACCAAGAATGAACCCTAATGTAACGTATGGACTCTAGGTAATAATGTTGTCAATGTAGGTTCATCAGTTGTAACAAATGTTACTACTCTGGTGAAGGATGTTGATAGTGGGAGAAGCTTGTGTATGTGTGGGGTAGTGGATATATGGGAAATCTTCCACTCAATTTTGCTGTGAACCTAGAACTTCTCTAAAAAATAAAATCTATTTTAAAAAATTCACTGCAGGAGCTTAATGACAGATTTGAACAGGCAGAAGAAAGGGTCAATGAATTTGACAAGCGACTGAAATTATCCAGTCCAATGAACACCAAGAAAAAAGAAGGAAAATGAACAGAACCTGATGAACCTGTGGGACAACATCAAACACACCATATATGCATTAGGGAAGCTCCAGAATGACAACAAGACAGAAAAGGGACAAAAATTTTTTTTCGAGAAATAATGGCCAAAAGGAAAACAAAATAAAAAATGAACAAGTGGGACTACGTCAAATAACAATCTTCTGTACAGCAAAGGACACCATCAGCAGAACAAAAAGGCATCCTACAGTATGGGAGAATATATTCATAAATGACTCATCTGATAAGATGTTAACATTCAAAAATATAAAGAATTCCTATGCCTCGACACCCCCCAAAAAATAACCCAATTAAGAAATGGGCAGAGAACCTGAACAGACATTTCTCCAAAGAAGAAATACTAACGGCCAACAGGCATATAAGAAGATGCTCCACATCACCAATCATCAGGGAAATGCAAATTAAAACCATCATGAAATATCACCTCACACCAGTTAGAATGGTCACTAACCAAAAGAAAAGAAACAAGAAATGCTGGTGAGGATGTGGAGAAATGGGCACCCTCCTACTCTGTTGGTGGGACTGCAAAATAGCGAAACCACTGTGGAAAGCAGGTTGCTCAAAAAACTAAAAATAGAAATACCATCTGACCCAGTAATTCCACTCCTAGGATTTTAGCTGAAGAAAACAAAATCCCTGATTTGAAAAGACATATGCCCCCTATGTTTATTGCTGCACTATTTGTAATAGCCAAGATATGGAAGCAACCTATGTGTCCATCAACAGATGAATGGATAAAGAGATGGTATACATACACAAAGAAATATTATTCAGCCACGAAAAGAAAAGAAATCCTGCCATTTGCAACAACATGGATGGATCTACAGGGTATTAAGCTCAGTGACATAAGCCAGGTGGAGGAAGACAAACACCATTTGATTTCACTTATTTGTGGAATATAAAAACAAAGCAAAACAGAAGGAACAAAACAGCAGTAGATTCATAGACACTGTGAAGTGACTAGTGGTTATAAAGGAGGAGGAGTTGGGGAGGGGGGAAGGGAGATAAAGGGGCACAATAATTCACAATCACAATATAAGCTGGTCACAGGGACAGTAGTACAGCATGGAGAATATAGTCAATGATTCTGTAACATCTTTCTATGTTGACAGACAGTAACTGCACTAAAGGGGGTGAGGTTTAATAACATGGATAACTGCTGAACCAATGTGTTTTACATTTGAAACCAATGTAAGATTATTTATCAATGATACTTCAATTTAAAAAAAAAAAGAATGGCCAAAAAGTTTCCAAATTTTTTGAAAGACATATATCTACACATCCCAGAACTCAACAATCTCTAAGCAGGATAAACTCAGAGATCCACACTAAGACATAGTAAAGTCACACTGTCAAAAGCGAAACACAAAGAGAATATTGAGAGCAGCAAGAGAGAGGCACCTTGTCATGTACAAGAAAGTCTCAATAAGATTAACAGATGATTTTTCACAAGAAATTAAGGAGGCCACAAGGTAGTGGAATGACATATTTAAAATGCTGAAAGAAAAACAACTATCAACTAAAAATTCTATATCTGGAAAAAAATATCATCATGCATGAAGGAGAAATTAAGGTATTCCCAGATAAACAAAACCTAAAGGCATTCATTACTAGTAGACCTATCTTACAAGAAATGATAAAGGGAGTCCTTCAGGTTCAAATGAAATGAAATTAGACAATAATGGAAAGCCATAGGAAGAAATAAAGAACTAATAAAGGTTACTACATAGGTGTATAGGTATTTACACAGATAAATATACAAGTCTATATAATTATATTTTTCATTTGTAACACTTTTGTTCCTATATGATTAAATCAAATGCATAAAACAGTAATTACTAATCTGTGTCAATAACAATATGAAGGTGAGAAACAGAAATACATAGGAACAGTGTTCACACACTATTGAAACTAAAGTTGGTGTTTTTCAAACTAGGTTATTATTACTTTAAGGTGTTAATTTAATCCCAAGGGAAGCATTAAGAAAAAAATATATAGTATACAGAAAAGGAAAGAAGAGAATCAAAATGGTACACTGTAAAAATACCAACAAAATACAAAAAAAAAAGCAGTGATGGAGGAATTGAGGAACAAAAACATGTAAGACATACAGAAAACAAACAACTAAATGGCAGAAGTAAGTCCTTCCTTATCGGTAATTACTTTAAATGTAAATGGATTGAATCCTCCAATTAAAAGGCAGAAATTAGCAGAAGAGATCAGAAATAAACAAAACCATGGTTCATCTATCAAAGAGGCTCGCTTCAGAGACCAAGGCACAGAGAGACTGAAAGGATGAAAAAGACAGTCCATGCAATTAATAATCAAAAGAAAACTGAGGTGGAGCTATTCTGTCATCAGACAACATAGATTTTAAACCAAAAAAGGTTGTATCAAGATATAACAGAACCCTGAAATTTATAAAGAAAAAATTGGCAGAATTGAAAGGAGAAATAAACAGTTCTACAATAATAGTTGGAGACTTTAATACCCACTTTCAATAATGGGTAGAACAATAAGGGAATAGAGAAACTTGAACAACACTAAAGCCAGGCACTATTCTGGGATTCAACAATGAATAGATCAAAATCCTTGCCCTTATGGATCTTACAGAAAAGAAACAAGATTTTAAAAGGTAGACTATGTGGTGTATTAGGAGAAAAATTACACAGAGAAGGGGAACAGGGATTGTCCAAGGTTGCAGATTTTACTTAGTTCGGTTGGGGAAGACCTCACTAAGATGATGACATCTCTGTACAGAGTAGTTCTCTCAATCACTTACTGTTTATCATCCTACTTCAAAAGTGCGTGTACTAGACAAACTCCCTATCCAGCTGGTGAGCTCCTTGTTGGCCAGAACCACTCCCAGCTCTTGGCACAGAGCTGCCATAGAGGGGCTGTTATAGGCTCACTCAATACACAAGCACACACACGCACACAGAGCTGGCACCAGTTCAGGGAGTCACAGCAGCTTAGAAATTGCTACTGAATTGTTTACTAAATTCTTTACCCCAGTCCTTGGGCTCAACGGGTTAGGTGAAAAGTACAAGGAGTGTGTTTCTCAAACCCAAAGGAGTGGGCCTCACTAACCCAGAAACTGGGTATTTTCTTAAATTCATCTTGAATAAAGAAAAAAGTCTGACTTGCTCTCAGAAACTCATTAATGTGCCCTTACCACATATTTTACCCACTCAGTAAAATGTGTCCTTGGTTTTGCTTTCTGTGCTTTTGGTTACCTGTAGTCAGCATGGTTCCAAAGCAGATGATCCTCCTTCTGACATATGGTCAGAAGGTCAACAATAGCCTAACACCATGTCACAGTGCCTACATCACTCACCTCACTTTATCTCATCACACAGGCATTTCATCATCTCACATCATCACAAGAAGGGTGACTACAGTGCAATAAAATATTTTGAGAGAGAGAGACTACATCCACAAAACTTTTATTACAGTATACTGCTATTGTTGTTCTACTTTATTGTTATTGTTAACCTCTTACTATGCCTAATTTATAAATTAAACCTTATCATAGGTATGTATGTATAGAGAAAAACATAGTGTATATATATATGGGTTTGGTACTATCTCTGGTTTCAGGCATCCATTGGAGGTCTTGGAATGTATCCCCGATAGATAAGGAGGTGCCTACTATAAAAACAGAGGCCATTAAAGGTCAAAATTCTAGTTAGAAATGTGAGTGTTTGCCATGAGCCCTCAATAGCACTCTGCCTCAAACCTCAGATCTCCTAAGCAGGAAAAAAGCATCAAGAACCCTTTGCTCCCTGACCTGCACCAGGCTCATTTCCAGCTGCAGGGCATCTCTCTCTCTCCGAGCTGTATCCAGCTCTCCCTCCAACCGCTGCACCTCTGACTGGGCCAACCCCAGCTGCTGCTGAGCCTCCCGGGCTGCCTGGGCCTCCCTCTGGGTGTTCCCCTAAAAAGGGAAATCAAAATTAAGCACATACCTTATTTCCTGTCTCCCGATTACCTCCATTCCCCATCCATCCTCCCATATCCTAAAACCCAAGCTTCCGCTCACTTCATATTTGACCTATTTCCTCATCTCTTTAATTTCACTCTTCGGTTTCCTGTGTATTTGATGGCCCCAGTCCTTCCTCCTGGCCCCACACTCTCAATCTTGTCTCCCACATATAGTTCTTCACTCCATCCTGGTCCCCTACACCCCATATTCTAATGTCTTTCCCACTGAATTATTTCGTCCTCCATCTGTTCCCCATTCCCAACAGCCGCTTTTACCTTCTCCCCTTCCAGCTGCGCCTGGCCCTTCTCCTGCAGGGCCTGGTAGCGTTCCTGAAGCTGGTGCTCTTGCTGGGCCCAAGTCTGACGTTCTTTTTCTAGGGCACCCTGAAGTGTCTCGAGCTGTCGATGCTCACTGAGTTGCCCAGCCCGAGCCTCATCCCGTTCTTCCTGCAACGCCTGGCACCGCTGCTGTTCCAGTTCCAAGGTCAGGGTCAGAGCATGCCTTTCCTCTTCCTAGGGCCCCAGAAGAAAACCAAGATCCTTAGCATGCCCTCAAGAGACCAGCAATCTGCCCCCTCCCTCCTATGCAATGTGCCTGCTCAAAGTTACATCCATTAAAAATACCAGAGTTGACAAGCCCACATGATTACAATAAAGTAAATAAGAGCATCTGTTCCAGAATTGGGTAGGTCTGGATTGAAATCTCGGTTTGAATCCCAGCTCTGTCATTTACTTTGCGTTTTTAGACACACATCCTTATATGTAAAATGGGCATAGTATTAGGGTCACCTTGTGAGGATTAAAGTAAAAAGTGTATGCAAAGCATTTATCAGTGTCTGGCGCATAATAAGTACTCAATACATAATAGCTTCCACCATCATCAACAAAAGAAATTCCACAAAGACAAAAAAAATCCAGCCTACAACCATATACCGACCAACAAGCAACCATTATCAGCACTGTGGGATGTAGCCTGTTAAGCTTATAGGTACCAGCATGCATGCAGCAAGTTCCAAACCTGACTACTAATTCATCTGGGTAATCACCATGCCATTTCAGCAATAAGAATCTTGAGTGAGTCTTAGCCCATTCCTTCTGACAATGCCCCAGACCAGAATTCCCAAACCTGGCTGAACAAAATCACCTAGGAAATTTCTGAAAATAAATATTAAATTCCCTCAATCCTACCCCATGTCTACTGAATCAAAACCTCTCAGGATGGATCCCAGAAATCCACATTTTAAAATAATTCCCCAGATGATTCTAGTGAGGATATAATTTACAAAGTCTCTCAAACTTACTTGGTGGCAGGTCTTGGCATCTCTAGCAGAGCTAGTGTTCTAAGGAACACACTTGAGGAAGTACTGCCCTGGTGCATCTCAAGTTACAAACTCCCACAAGCCACCAATAGTCCTCTCTAGAGGTAACTGACAACCTCATTTGGAATTAACCCAGATCAGCATTCTCACCAGCATCTCTCTTTCCCTTTGCTGCAGTCTGGCACTTTCCTGCTCACGATTCAGGGCCTCCATGGCCTCAGAAAGGCTCTGTTCCAGGTGGATTACTGTCTTCAAGGAGAGGGGAACACAGGATAGAAGAACTGAGGAGACTCCCTGCATGGGATACTTCAAAAAGCACTAATAACATAAGCTTTGAAAGTGAGAGTTAACTACATGACTTGGGGATGGAAGATTACATGGTGTAGGGAAAGCTGGGAAGACATCAATGATGCAAGTTTGACAGCAGGAACAGCGAAGGGAGAGGAGATAGGGGAGGAGAATTGTCAGGCCAGGTACTGCCAGACTGACGTCAATGTGTTGGACCCCTAATTCAGAGCTATTCAACCTCCTTCAGCTAGCAATCTGTGACCTGGGCTCTAATGCCACCTGACCCAGGTTGCCCACCTCCTGCTGCTTGCTTCTGGTGAGTTCAGCTGCCTGGCGTTCCTCCTGGAGTCCCCGAAGCACCTCTGCCCGCTCAGCTTCATGCCGGTTCCAGCCCTCTACCACTCGAGCCAGAGTCTCAGGAGAGGAAAGTCAGATGGAATTTCAAAATAATTTTTTTGCCCTCTTTCTGCCCACAGGGGCAGGGTCCACAGCTACCTTCTCCTAACAATCAGTACGCCCACCCTTATCCCAGAACATGACCAAAGAAACACTGGTTGGCCAATCCCTATTTATTATTCCTTGGGGTTCCCCACGCAGAGACCCACCCGCATTCTGCAGCCCTGGCACCTTGTCCAGTTGTTCGATCATGATATCTTTCTTGCGGTCAGCAGTCACAGCCACAGCTAACTGTTGCTGAAGCTCTAGCACTCGGGTCTGTAGGTTCTGGATGTGGTGCTCACAATGCTGGGAAGAAGGATGAGGAGTCTGGGTGTTGCCATCCTTAGTGTAATCAATGCACCAAACTTCCTAGCATCTCTAAGGGGTTGTGCTGAAGACAGGGAGCCTGGGTCCCAAGAACAGAACAGGTTTGGAGAAGGAGAATCAGGGTTTCTGGAGCAGGAACCTTGAGGCCCAAGACCTTTACCACCTTTCTCTACCATTTCAGGAAACAGGGGCTTAGCTTCCAGGCTCTTCTCTTTCCTGGATCTCCTGAGAAAAGTTTCCATGAGCCTTTTGGCAGGGTGCAGCAGCTCTCACTGCGGGGTGGGCCGTTACTCTGCTTTAGGGAGCTCAGTGGGTATAATGATTAAACATGACAAGGATAAAGGGGAAAGCCTGTCATTCATGCTCAGGCAGTTAGAAATAGAGGACAAAAGGGTTCCAAAAATGACAACACAGCCAATGACTTTGACTTTTCCTCTGCCTTGTCCTCTCACACACTGAGGTTCACAGAGATAAAGCTCATCATATCACCAACAATTATAAAGCCTTTGCACAAGCCAACGAAGTTTGTTGTTCATTTGCCAAACACATACAGAGGTTTCTAAGTGTTAGGTATATTCTAGACTTCAGGAAGACAGTGCCAAACAAGATAAGGTATGACTCTCATGGAGCTTAAATTTTAAAGGGCAGAAACACAAGCAATATCATACTGTGATATGAAGGAAATAACAGGAATCTGAACAAATATTTGGAGGGGAGGTGTGTCATTTTAGATAAGATGGTCAAACAAGGCCTCCCTGAAGAGTCATTAGAGCAAGTCCCAGTGTGAAGGCCCTTAACCCTCAACCCTTTTCAGCATTCAGCTCTTTCTGATCTTTGCCGCTTTGTATCTCACCTTCCGACGGGTATGCTCCGAATCCAGTGCATCTCTCAGGCCCTGAAAATCCGGGGGATTATGTGGGGGCCCTGGCCGAAGGCTGGTGTAGCGGGGAAACAACTCCTCCAGGGCTTGGGCTGAGCTAGATGGAGTTAAATCTTGCAGGGGCCGGGTGCTGAGCAAATCAGGTAGAGAATATTAGGCTTGGAAATGCTTTTGAGGTCCACTAGTGACATATACAATTGAGGAAACTGAAATTCAGAAAGGGCAAGAGACTCGCTCAATGTCATAAAGCTAGCCAGTGACAGAGCCATAACTAGCACACAAGTTCTGTGATTCACTCTATACCATATTCCCTGCAGTAGAAGTCTCAGCAGAAACAAACTAATTCTTCTGGAAGAAGAAGGATTAGAGGTTGGGAGAAAGTCAGAAACTGGGCAGAAGATGGGGTAAAGGAGGTAGAAAATAGTAGAGAAAGGATGATAACTAAAAGCTAAATGATAAGCATCTTAGATCCTTGGGAGTTAGAAAAGCAGTACTAGACTTTCCAAGAAATTAAGCAAGCAAGCAAGCTAGGAGAACCCCAAGAACTCACTTAAGCAAGGTGGCTGTGCTGTCACTGTCAAAGGAGTCCTCTTCCCGTCTCTCTGAGCCAGCACCTGGAGTAAGGGGATCCCCTGCAGCAGCCAGAGAGACCCCGCAGCCAAGGTCAGGTAAGCATAAATACAGGGACCACTTGAAGGAGAAGAGAAGAGAGGCTCTTCCTTTTTACTTTACTCATTCCTCTTATCCCTCTTCCAAAGGATGGAGTCTTTCCTTCAGAAATCTCTTGTCTCAGAGGTCTAGGATTTTCCACCACTGCTTTCTTTCTTCACTTTATCTCACCCCTTAAATCTAGGTTCTCTTTTATAGGGAAGGGGTTCACTCACGATAAGCTGCATCACGGGAGGTTTGGAGCATGCTCTGCAGTTGACTCCGAACAATTTCCATCTCAGAGATATGCTTGGAACCATCCTAGAAAAAAGCAGCTCAGAAGTCAGATGAATTCTGATTCATCTATATTCTACCTACTGCCAAGGTAGATGGCTTCCAGTACCCCCATGTCCAAAAAATTTCACTCCAGCACCTAGGAAAGTAAGAAAAGCAAAACTGACCCAATAAGGGTCAGAAGCTCAAATGTCTACAGAAATCAGAAATGTAGTGTAAATGAATCAGGCATGGTAGCCAAGAACGGTGAGGATCCTTGCCAACTAGAAAGCGAATACCCTGCTAGAGACTTTGCAGCCTATGGCTACCAGTTTTTCAAACTCTGGAAGCCCTAACCATCTACAAATTGGTTATGACACCTTTCCCATCCAACGCTGACAACTACCTTCTCTGGAACAGGTGTAGTTTATTAAATTATGTTTTAATGATTTACATGCTAAATTTTGAACCATACAATCAAAATAGCTTTAGCTGGCAGAATCTTACCATAATTTGCTGCTATTAAGTCCCTAGTTCCCTTTTGGGTTAAAGAAACCTTCTCTTCACTGCCATGGCCCAAGTCCCAGCCAAAGCACAGCAACCTATCCTACTGTGCGAGTGTCCTTCTAACAGAAAGACACTAGGAAGTTTCACAGCTTTCCAAATGAGATGTTCCAGGCCACTGTCTCCCACATAAACATTCGCTCCCAGGAACTGACTATAGTTAAAAGGAATTTAAAATCCAACAATAGGAGTTCAAATCTCAGTAAAGCTAATTTTTTTTTATCACTCCTAATCCCAAGACCCTAGAGGTTCCCAAGACACACCTCCCTCACCTTTTTCTTCAAGTTGTTCTCCAGTCCAACTGACAAGCTGCGACCCAGCTCTTGGGCCAGGCCATCTAACACCTCGTGAGGAGGTGGGGAGATGGAATGTAAATACAGCTGGGCTCGGGCTGTGGCCTCTGCCTGGCGATTGAGGTGCAAAGAAGCATAGAGCTGGGAGGTCACCTCAGAGGACACTTGGTTCAGCCCAGGGGCTTCTGATGAATCACTCAAGAGATCTTCAGAGCAGAGAGGTGAACTGGGGCTGGTAGCTGATGTCGCCATGAGTACAGGGAAGAGGCAACTGGAGACAGCAGAGCTGGGAACTCTTGGTTCTTCTTTTTGGAAAGCCCAGGCAGAAAAGTACAGAAGAAAGATTTGAGAGCGAGGAGGAAGACTCCAAGCCAAGGATCCTTGGTGAATAAAGGTATAAAGGCCTTCTGGTTAGAAGAGGTTTCCGCCGGTTCCAGAGGCTATGGGAGAGGGCAAAAGCATTTCTATCCACAGCTCCTGGGAACAGTGGAAAAGAAGGGTGCAGCAACGACGGGGTGAGGACAAAAAAATCTACTGTGAGGAACAGCACCACAGAAGTTTCTCTGGAGTGATGAAAGCTGCCGATGAACTTCTGGCACTGGCTATCACTAGTCGACTGAACTAAGTTCTTACATCCAGAGGGCGCAAAATGAAAAGGACCCAAATCCAATAGGGACCTAATTTCCGTCCAGCTGCTATATTGGCCCCTCAATTGGCTCCAATCTCAGAGAGGCAGGAACCTCCGCTCCCTACTTCCACACACCCCGCCGCCCACCGCACTCGTTCTACACACCGTCAACCCCCGTGTATATCCGTTCCGACCCCTCCTGGCAAGAAAGCCATAGTAAGGCTCCCCAGAATCCCTCCCTCTTGACTAGCCCAAAAGAAACTGAGAACACTGTCACACCCTCAGACGTCCCTAAACGTACGCCGCCCTCAAGCCTAGCCCGAGATCCTCTACTCTGACCAGCCCGTTCCGACTATTCTCCACACCTCCAGCCCTTGGCCCCGCAATTTGCCAAGATGGGGACAAGGGATTGCCCCCTCCCTTGAGCCCCCGTCGGGCAGATCAAGATCCCCCGCTCTCACGCCCTGCCCAATCTCAAAACCGTTGGGAAACTCCCGCCCACAGCCCGCAGCCCCGCCTCTCTCGCTTCGATGACGTCACCAGTCCAGGAGCCAGTCCTCGTAACCGCTCACTGCCTCTAGAGCCGAGGAGCCTGACTGCGCGTGCGCAACTCTGGGGCCCACGGATTGGCTGAGAGCGATCTTGGGGCGGGGTTATTGTTCCGCCGCCGCCGCTGGAGAACCAGGTTGGACGGAGCACGGAGGAAACCGGAAGTATCTAGTGACGGGCTCTAGGAACAATTCCGGTGAGTCCGCGGGCGGGGTCCTCGTTTGCTTGGAGGACTCCCGGACTAAGAACTGGAACCCAGGAGTGTGGGCGGTTCCGGATCGAAGCTCACAGTCTCTGCCCCGTAGATGACTGTCCACAACCTGTACCTGTTTGACCGGAATGGAGTGTGTCTGCATTATAACGAGTGGCACCGCAAGAAGCAAGCGGGGATCCCCAAGGAGGAGGTGACGAGAGGGCCCCACGCAGCCTGGGTGACCTCGCATCTCCAAATCTATAGTCCCAGTCCAGCCCTTCCTCTCCAAATTCTGGCTCGTTCCCATCCCTACCCCGCCACCTTCAACAACCGAGAACTAACTCTGCCCCTCTTCTTCCAGGAGTACAAGCTGATGTACGGGATGCTCTTTTCTATCCGCTCGTTTGTCAGTAAGATGTCCCCGCTAGACATGTACGCAGTCAGAGGGGGATGTTGAGGGGAGAAGGGCTAGCTTGGGGAACTTTGGGATGGGGAAATTTTTCTGGAGTGGAAGGGGCATTTGGCTCCCAGAGAGAAGGAGACAGACTGAGTCCGGAGCAAGAGTGCTGGAGGTGGCAGGAATGACGGCGGGAAGATCTGAAGGTAGAGAGGTTGGGTGCTTGTGTTAAACTGAGGGGTGAAGATGGGAGGTGACTTTATTCAACCAGGCTCCTACAAATTATGTTAAGAGAAGAGGGAATCGGCCTAGAGGAAATCAGAAATATCTCTTTGGAAGAAATTCTCCCATTCCTTAACATCCTCCTCATTTCTGCAGGAAGGAAGGCTTCCTGGCCTTTCAAACCAGCCGTTACAAACTCCATTACTACGAGACGCCCACTGGGATCAAGGTTGTCATGAATACTGACTTGGGGGTAGGACCCATCCGAGACGTGCTGCATCACATCTACAGTGCGGTCAGTGCCAGCCCCTGGGACCGCTCCCCCAAAGCTCCTCAACAGCCATGGCCACTTAGAGCCCCAAGACTCCTTCAGCTTCCCTGCCTTAATCCTACTGTATTGTATCTCTGTCAAAGTCAGTTTTCTCAGGACTGTTGATGTCCTTAAACACTTCCACCACCAGTTTTTCCTCAGGGAGGACTTGCCTCCCAACCCTTGATCCTTGAGCATTCACACATCCCTGAAGTTAGGCTAGGTTTGGTGTTGAAAACAAGAAATGTCCAAAGCCTGGCTGTAACATCCTTTTCCTCTGTAGCTATACGTGGAGCTGGTGGTGAAGAATCCCCTGTGTCCCCTGGGCCAGACTGTGCAAAGTGAGCTGTTCCGCTCCCGACTGGACTCCTACGTCCGCTCTCTGCCCTTCTTCTCTGCCCGGGCTGGCTGAAAGAAGCACCCTACCTCACCTCTCAGGAGAATCCCTTGCCTGCTTGGGGCCCTTTCTAACCTGTTTCACCTGAAGGCCCCACTGAAATCCCCTCTACCCCTCCCAACCCCCACTCCCAGCAGCCCTCCCAGGGCAATAGCCTAAAGCACACCCTGGTGCCCTCCCTGTCAAAGAAAGACATCAGGAGTCCTTACACCTCCAAACCAGGTCCTCTCTCCAGTTTTATCCCATAACTGATACTTTGAGAAGTACAGAATAAACTTTTTGTCACCTTCTGTAGCCTGAGCATGTTTGAGTGGTTGGTTGGGGGCCTGCCCCATGCATGATGGTGTGAACCTGGGTGGCAACATCCCGCTAGCCTGCAAAGAGGCTTTGTCCATGGCTTTCTCGACAGCAGCACTACAGATCTTCCTCAACTTAGAATGGGATTACATCGTGGTAAACCCATTATGATTTGCAAATATTGTAAGTCAAATTTGATACACCTAACCTACTGAATATCATGCTTAGCCTAGCCTACCTTAAATGTGCTTAGAACACTTAAATTAGGCTACAATTGGGCAAAGTCATTCAGTACAGCCTCTTTTATAATAAAGTATTGAATATTTCATGTAATTTATTGAATACTGTTCTGAAAGTGAAAAACAATGGTTTTAAATGTATGGGGATTGTTTACCTTCCGATTGTGTGGTTGCCCAGGAGTAGCGGCTCTACTGCTGCCTAACATCGCAAGAGTATGGTACCTCATATTGCTAGCCCAGGAAAAGATCAAAATTAGAAGTACTGTTTCTACTGAATGCATATTGCTTTTGCACCACCGAAAGTCAAAAAACTGTAAATCTGGGACTGCCTGTATTGACATTTTGGGCTGAAAAATTGTGGGATGGGAGGGATGCTGTCTTGTGGTTTTTCCTTGCCACCGCTCACTAGATGTTGGCAGAACATCTCCCCCAATAGAGCCAGTCAAAACTGTCTGTAGACCTTGCCAGATGTTCCCTAAAGAATAAAACTGCCTGGTTGAAACCCACTGGGCTTGAGGAAGGCCGACCTGCCTCCAGTCCCAGACAGTAGGAGCACCACCTTCCCGGGTTCTGCTCTCCATCTCTCAACACGAAATATTCAAGCCGCAGAGCTTCCGAAGGCGGGGCTTATGCAGATGAGCGGCAGGTTTGGCTTGGAGACGGGCCGCTTTATGCAGATGAGGGGGCGGTGCCTGTATGTTGATTAGCCGGGCGGCCTGCGGACGCAGCTGGGAGCCTAGCGGGTCCCGCAGAGGTTCGGCCTGAGGCGGCGTCTCTTCCGCACCCCCACCCTCATTCCTAGGTCCCTACCCTCGGAGGGTCTTCCTCGACCTTTACCGTCATCCATTTCCCCTTCCTCCTCCCAGCGCCAGTGCCCGGGTTCCCGAATAACTCCACTCGGGGAGTCCCCCGCGTTTCTCCCCTCCCGCAGCCAACCTTGCGACCTCCAGCAGTCCGCCCCCGCGGGCCCAATCCTGCCTGGCGGCTCCTGCCGCAGCCTCCTCAGCCTTCCCGCTCTCCCAGGGCTCGCACCACTATACCCCCTGCTGTCCGCCCGCGGGTTTCCCGGATCCCCTCCTTCCGCCCCCTCGGAGCCCCCTTCCCCATCCGGGCCAACAGGCATGCAGGTGTCTATCGCATGTACCGAGCAGAACCTTCGCAGTCGGAGCAGCGAGGACCGTCTGTGTGGACCCCGGCCGGGCCCTGGGGGCGGTAATGGCGGGCCGGCCGGCGGGGGGCATGGGAATCCTCCGGGTGGAGGAGGGCCGGGGCCCAAGTCCCGGGCCGCACCGGTCCCCCGACCCCCAGCCCTCGCTGGGGCACTCCGAGAGAGCACCGGCCGAGGCACTGGCATGAAATACAGGTATGGGGGTGGCCAGGCCAGCCTGTCCTTTCTGCTCCCCTTTCCTGACCCCTGAGGCTTCCTGGGGTGCCGCCAGAACCCCCTCAAACTTCGCAAGAAGGTCCGGCTCATTACATCTCTTCCTCCATCGCTGGCAATTGGTCCCTCTCTTGGTCTCCGTCGATACCCCTAACTAGGAGAAAATGAAGTTTCCTAAGGCTGACCGGGTCCTGTCAGACCCAGGGCATGCACCTGAGCTTCCCTCTTTACCCCCAGGAAGGCCTAGGATGCATGGATCTCCAGGCTGCGCACCCCCTCGCATGGAGTGTCCTTGGGTTGGTGTCCTGGGAAGAGGGAGAAAGGAAACGGCTTCATACCCTGGCCTGCTCAGGGAACCTGACCCAGATACTGCCTCTACCTGCCCAAGGGCTGGGTCTCCTGTGACCCTTCTTGGAGGGGAGGGAAGTGGGCCCTTGAGAAGGATGGACCACCTCTCTCAACCCCATGCTGAGGGACAGGGGCCTAATGGGGAAGGTGTGCTGAAATATAACTGGCTTTATCGCAGAACCCTCGGACTCTCAAAATTAAAATAAGGGGGTGGGGGGAGGGAGAAGGAGTGCTCACACTCTGGGAGTGAGCAGAGGTCACTGATCTGACCTGGCTTTCTCACCTGAGGAATTTGATTTCCATGTGGCAGCCCTGATTGGGAGACTGAGCAGACTACTGGGTAGGGGGCCTTGGGAGGAGGCAGTTTTCTGGTTCAGAGGCAGATTTCATAAGCCAACCGTGCAGAGAGAGCAAAAAGAAGAGAGAGAACTGGCCTTTCCTGAAATACTCCCCACCCAGGTGTCCTACCTGTCTGGGTTGAGAGCCCGCTTGCCTAGTGTATTCAAGGACTCTTGCCTGCCTGAGTGCCTGAACTTGACTTGCTTTACCCCTTGCACCCTAGTGTCTGCCCTTTAGCATAGCACTGCGGGTGTATTTTTTCACAAACTAATCACAATCAGCCAGTCACACTCCCCTCAGCTCCCAGCTCCACACAGCGCAGAGACGACTTAAACACAGACAAGACCCCACCAGAACAAGCACGGCACAGGAAGCACTCCTGCAATGTGACAACTGGGACCAGAGAACAGTCATGTATTTGTTCACTTGTGCTATGAGTATATAGCACTGCCCAACTCGGTAGGCCCACTGGGTCTAGTTTCTTTGGACTGAGGTACCCTGAGGGCTTCTCATTCTGGAAGGAAAGGAACTGGAGGCAGATAATCTGTGTCCCTGGCAGAGGCTCCACCCCTTCCTGCTGTTTCTATATCCCGCAGGAACCTAGGAAAGTCTGGTCTTCGGATATCCTGTCTTGGCCTAGGTGAGTGAGAAGAGGAATTAAGAGAAGGGGCATTCTTTCATGGCTTGCTCCCCATAGTTATCAAATGTGTGGCTTCTCTCTTGCAGGTACCTGGGTCACATTTGGTTCTCAAATCTCAGATGAGGTATCAGTGATGGGACCTAGAAGCAGTGGGAGGTGGTGTGAGGGAACCAGAAAAGGGGGAAATGGACTTGGATAGAGGTTTGGACAAACACAGAGAAGGACCTGAGGCTGGAGAATGGGGAAAGGGGAGAAAATGTGGAAACCAGGGCTGAGGTACATTGGGCTAGAGTGCAGTGAGGAAGGTAACGGGGCTCAGTGGTTAATCTGCATCTCTCTTTTTCACCTCCCTTAGACAGCAGAGGCTGTGCTGACAGTAGCCTATGAGCATGGTGTAAACCTGTTTGACACCGCCGAGGTGTATGCAGCAGGAAAGTAAGGACTGGGGTGAAAGAGTTAAGTTACGTTTTGAAGGCTGAGAGAATACCAGGGCTTCTGGTTGTCCCTCTAAAGAACCCTGCAAACACTAAGATCCAACCTTTCAGACAATGGACCCTCAAGGCATTATGGGAACTGTAGTTCCAACATCAGTCTCTCCTCGGTTTAGAGAGCAAAGGGCATACTGTGCAGTCAAAATAAAGTAAAAGCAACAAATACATCCTGGGCAACTATGTGAAATTATGTGAAGATTACAAAACTGAATTTTTAAACACACCACACTACATCACATACCCGTGGCTTCATATTAGGAGTAGCCAACTAGTAGGATATGATACAGAAAGACAGACAAAAAGAGAAGGCAAATGTAGCAAATTTTAATTGTGAATCTGGATAATGGATATACTAATCCTGTAACGTTTCTATACATTTAGAATATCAAAATAAAATATTACCAAAAAAGTTAATTGCTCATATATACACACACACATAGAGCAGTAGTTAGGTAAAGCCATGTAAAAACCATAAAGAATCCTCTTCTCCATCTGACAAACTCTTCTGCTCATCTTGAAGACGTGACTCAAATGTTAGCCCCTCCAAGAAGCCTTTGCCCAATTTCCCGAAGTTGGTTACTACCCACCTCAGCTCCCAAAGCACTTTATACTGCCCTTTGACACAAATTTGTCAATTAGCGGTTTGTGTGGCTATATTCACTGCACAACTGGGAGACTCCTCCTTTCATGGAACTGTCTTGCTCTTGCTCATGTTACCTAAGTACCCACAGTGAGCCTAACACAGAGCTGGCACTGCTTGTGGGATGGCATCAACGTGCCTTCCAAAAGCTCATAGTTGAAGTAGTTAAGCAAATAAACCCCCAAAACAGGGAGGTGTGGAAGATAAAACACTTCAGTTATAGTTCACCATAACAACTGAAGATTTGTGACATTAGCTCTTAATTAAGTGCCAAAGAATTGTGTAGCCCATAAAAGCTATGGAAGGTGACAAGAAGGACCTTAGAGTATGACAGAGAACATTTTCCATAAGATGACACAGAATCCGAGCTAAGCTTTGGAGGATGGGTGGAATTTTGCAGAGATGTAAAGAAGGTAAAGATGGCAGAGGGCAATACAGATGGTTAGAAACTGGCAAGGCAGTCTTTCCCTATCCCTTCATCCTGCTCTATCCCTCCAGCATCCAGACAGATCTTAGTATGTAGCTGATATACAGTTGATATCTGCTGAATGAATGAAAACTGTATGGCTACACCCCTAGTGCCAGAAGCCCCTCTTATTTAGTCCTGGATGAGCTGACAGTTCAGGGGCCTCCTGATTTATGCTCCATTTTACGAGAGGAAATTAGTTGAAAGGAAAGGGGGGAGGAGGCAAAGGAACTGATCCATCTTGGAGGAGTCAGTGCTTCTGCATTGTCTTTCTTCCAGAGCTGAAAGAACCCTAGGCAACATCCTCAAGAGCAAAGGCTGGAGGTGAGACTATTTTGGGGGGGCTGCTGGGGGACATGATCATCCAAAAATCCTTTTCTCCCTGGTTCTCCCATTTTTGTTTTTCCAGGAGGTCAAGCTATGTCATCACCACCAAGATTTTTTGGGGAGGACAGTAAGTGGCTGCCTCACTATGTGGGGAGAAGATCTACAGAGAATATGTGAAGGTGCATGGGACAGGGGTGGGGATAGCTGTACCCCAGGTCTGCATCCTGCTTGTGAGAACCTGCCAAATCCCAGTTCCTCAGGGCACAGGGACAGCCCTGGTTGCCTATTTTTGTCACACTTCATCTCTGATTTACCCTTTTCCTACAGGGCAGAAACTGAGCGAGGCTTGAGCCGCAAACACATCATTGAGGGTGAGAGGGGCTGGGAACTTGAAATAGCTGAGCACGGAAGCCAGAGGAGTTGGGAACGTTCTCTGAAGCTCTTGAGTTGGAGGCTCTGAATACGGGAGCTGGGATTTAGGTGGCCATGGCAAGGGGGTAAAGTCTAAATTCTTAGCAGACTACAGCTGAAGTACTTACCTTCCTCACCCCTCCCTGCTCCAGGCTTGCAAGGATCCCTGGAACGCCTTCAGCTGGGATATGTGGACATCGTCTTTGCCAATCGCTCAGACCCCAACAGCCCCATGGAGGGTAAAAGCAGCACCCTGACCCTGACAAGCCTTGGAAACAGCAATTCCTGAAACCCTCAGCAGGAAGGCAGTTCCTGCTCAGGAGGTCTCCCAAGCTCCACAGTGGAAGCTCAGACCCCAGGACTTGGACAGGGAGGGAGACGAAGAGCAGACACCAATCTGACTCCACAGAGATAGATGCCTGGGGTCTTAGTGCAGCAGGCAGGGTCTGCACATCAGGAGCCCTGGACGCCAGGGATCTGATGTGCAGCTCTTCCTCTCCCATGTGCCTAGAGATTGTGAGAGCCATGACCTACGTCATCAACCAGGGCCTGGCCCTATACTGGGGGACATCCCGATGGGGGGCTGCAGAAATCATGGTGAGTGTGCCACCCCACCTCTGCCTGTAGCACAACTGGTTCCCACTTTTCACATGGCCACTCCACACTCCACTCTACTGGAGGAGGGGGAGTGGAAGAAAAGGAGTGCTCTGACTCCCGTTTCCTCCCCACTCCAACCCAGGAGGCCTACTCCATGGCCAGACAGTTCAATCTGATTCCTCCAGTGTGTGAACAAGCTGAGCACCATCTGTTTCAGAGAGAGAAGGTGGAAATGCAGCTGCCAGAGCTCTACCACAAGATTGGTTCGCAGCCCCTCATCCCTACCTTTCCCTTGGCCTCAACATCACCTAGATCCCTTTCCCCACATCCAATCCTCTTCCTCTTAGGTGTTGGCTCTGTTACCTGGTCCCCTCTCATTAGCCTTATCACTACCAAGTATGAAGAGCGAGTCCCAGATACCTGCAGGGCCACCATCAAGGTGAGATCTGGGGGCTCGGGATGGCAGGACTAGGCTCTCTGGGCAGTGGTCTTTTGCTGATTCTCCTTGGCCTCCAGGGTTACCAGTGGCTCAAGGACAAAGTGCAGAGTGAAGAGGGCAAGAAGCAACAAGCCAAAGTCATGGACCTTCTCCCCATCGCTCACCAGCTGGGCTGCACTGTGGCACAGCTTGCTATTGGTGAGACATTGACAGGCCTGGATCCTGCAGGCATCTTGCCTGCTCCTGAGACACCCCAAGCCCCAGACTGTTTGTCCCTAGGAGGACCCTCTTCCTCAGACACTTCTTAAGTTTGTGCGCTCACTGTTCCCCATTCGTTCTCTTTTTCTCCTCCTCTGGCCCCAGCGTGGTGTCTCCGCAGTGAGGGTGTCAGCTCGGTCTTGCTGGGGGTGTCGAGTGCAGAGCAGCTGATAGAACACCTGGGAGCCTTACAGGTGAGCTGAGGACTCAGAGGCAGAACTCATTACTGTCCCCTTCCCCAGCAGTCAGGGCCTTGCTGTCCAACCCAGAAGGGCTGGTGTGGTCACCCATTACAAGGTCCTCCCTTTGCAGTAAGATCCAAGGGCAACAAGGCGAGGCAGGGGCATAGCATCGACTCCCCCTGCCACTTGGCCCCATTTTGCTGCTCCCTCCAACCTCACGTCCTTCTTTAGTGACCCAGCCTGTACTGCCCTGTCCACCACCCATCCTCCTCCAGGTGCTGGGCCAGCTGACCCCACAGACGGTGATGGAGATAGATGGGCTCCTGGGGAACAAACCGCATTCCAAGAAATAGTCCGTCGTGGGGGCAGGCACCCAAACCCGGATATGCTGCACCCGCCGACAGCCGCTTCCCGCAGCCGCCTCCATCCCTCTCCGGATCCCTCCATGCAGCGGTCCGAGCAGGGGTGGCCCCGCCCGCCAACGAGTCCCGGCTTCCAGTAGCGATACGCATGCACAAAGCAATATCCTTCCGCAGTGGGTTGAGAGGGAAAGTAGTGCTCCGCCCTTGCTGCGTTCTCTCAGGCCTTGCCAATCTGGGCATGAGCTATTGGGCCATCTCCTCTCTGCCACTTGGTCTCGCTCCCTTCTCTCTTCCCCAAATTGTCGAGGCCCAAGGGGGGAAAAAAAACAACACGGCAGATACAGGAAACATGCAAAGTACCTCAGAAGTTTCCCTTGAAATGTCATCAAGGGGTAATCTAAAAAGTTGTCATGTCATCTGGGACAAAGGAAATAAAGCTCTTACGTAATTCGGTATAAAGGAGGCCAGGTTGGTCCTGGTAGGAAGTAAATGATAATCTTGGGGAAACCAGGACCCTGCCTCCCAGTCAGGAGGTGGAGTGCGCAAAGTCAGAACTAGTGTGAATACTTGGTTCTTGTCGAGAGAGCTATTGTGGGGAACACAGTGACGGCACTGACGCAGGTAGAGGGAAATTTGAGGGCAGATATGTAGAGTGTCCTGGCAAAAGTGGCTAGGGTGGCCCTTGGAAAACACAGCTGAGCTGTGCTTCACAGGAAATAGTGACAGTCTTTAGGTCAGGGCAGAGACATGGCGCTGACATAAAAAGATCTGGGGATAGACTTTCGAGTCTTGGACAGGACTTCCTACCTGGCAGTGTTCCTCCTAGCAATAGTCTTAAAGCAATAATGATGGCCCCTGTTCTGTAAGACTTCCCAGGGAACTGTAAATAAAATTTTAGCTTGATCTCACTCATGGGTGTGTGGCATGGCAGGGGTTTGGGAGATTGGGATCTCAGTCTCGGCTCTCTGGCCCTCTAACCGCCTGCCATTAGGAAGCTCCAGGACTAGCTTTCTCTCAATTACTCTTTACCCTCAGCGACCCCGCATTGTGCTACTATGACTGCTCTCATCGAGGACCCTAATGCTGCATATCCCAGGCCCCAGTTTATGTCCTTCTTTTAGTTGCCACATTCATTAGAAGCCAAACATCTGGCTTTGTAGTTTTGTTGCCCCTCTGATGCTCTTGCCCTTGTTTCAAGTTTGTTTTGTTTTTAAAGTTTTATTAGCCACACTTCTTGTCTTGTACTTCTCATTTCCCTTTTGCCTGATACCCACACATATGCCAAGGAACTGTCTGGGTGGTCTTGTGGCTCAGACTCCTCTGAGTTTGAGGCTCTGGGATTTGATGAAGAAAAGCCAAAATGAAAACAGGTCTTGGGTTGAGGTGACACAGAGAGAGGGAATGGAATTATCATTATAAAGAAAACAAGGGAAAGATCAAGTGTGAGGGTGGCAGAAATGCAGAATCAAATGGGGTTATTTCAGATAGTGCTCCTTAATCTTCCCCAAAAGATTTTGATTGCCCGGGATGGAAAGTGGGTGTGAAGTTACATTTAAAGATCACACTGGAGGATGAGCTCTGCCTTCCTTAAAATACAACCTCACCATCTCCTTTTTACCCATCCTCATCCTTCCTTTTGATCCTGAAGCTGAGAGCAACGTTTAATCAATTGCCAACTGAGAAAAGTCTTAGCATGCCATTTACTGGATTAGCAACCAACTGGATCAGCTAATGAATACTTACATCCACTCCTATCATCTCCCACTCGTTTGAATGACTATGGAGGACACAAAGAGGTAAAACTACAGTATGAGTGAACTATGATTAGTTATTCTGTAACAAACATACAAGAGTTTATAAACTCAAAATAGTACTTGCCTTAGTTTCCTTGGAAAGTTGTGCATGTATTTTAATGATGCCGCCACCATTGCTCAAAACATTTTAAAAACTCCTTTTTGAAGTACCTTCAGAGACAGTTTAGAAATCCCTTGTATGAAACCTTCCTTTATTATCACACATCACTTAACACTTTATTGTCACACAACACTCACCTCGTTCATTAATTTAACAAGTACTTCTTTATTGAATCCCACTATGGGATGATCCAGGGGGTGAACAAAACCAGACTCAGAACAACCTTTGTGGAGTTTATGGATGGAAGAGATAAGTAAATAGCCACCCAAAAAACACAAACTTAAGTTGTCCAGAGAAAAGTACATGATGTGACAGGAGGCCACAGTGGGTGTCTGACATGGCGAGGCTGCACTGAGAGCTGAAGGATGAATTGGTGGTAATAGGGTCAAAGCAAGAGGGTTAGGAGACTAGCTCAAAAGCCTTGTAGCAGAAAGGAAGATGCAAGCTGAAGGTCTCCAAAGCCATTCCTTCTAAAGAGGGAATGGAAGCAGAATGTGAGACATGGGTAGGTTCAGAACATACAGGGATTTATAAGGCACTTTAGGATATTACCTTTGACCAGGAAGACAATACAACTCAGAAGTTTTTTTTTTCAAGGTAGGAGAACAAGGGAGACTTTTATTGAGAGATATAGTGAGAGGACAGACAGATAGAGCTCCTGGCTCATGCCAGGAGGGGACAAGAGAGCCCCTAAACTCATAAGTTATGAAATGTTTGCTTAAATATAATTGTATACCTCTTCACAAAAGATCACCCTCTAAGGTTTAACATCTGGTTAAAAAATTAATCCAGCTCTACGATGCCTGTTACAACCAGTAAATGCTATGGTTGCAGAGAAGCCCATCTGTATTGACCCAAAAGAGATAGGTGTTGAAAATGCAGGGCATTGAGAAGTTAATGTGAACACAATATAGACTGGGGGCATAGAATAATAATAGCTAATATGTGGTGTTCACTGTGTTGGAGTGACCATGTAGATTCATTCAATCCTATTATTATCCACAGTTTGTAGATGAAGAAACCAAGGCCCAGAGAAGTTAAGTAACTTCTAGTGTCACAATTTCAACGTGGAGGCGGCTGGGATTTGAACTCAAGCCAGCTGGCTCTAGAGTCTGTGCTATTGCCCTCCACAAAAGAACCTAGACTGAAGGTCCGGGAGGTGAGGGTGAGGAGGCAGCTGGGAGTGGGTGCGGTACCATGAGGGAATTTGGGCTGTGAGTACTATGTCCTGTTTACCTATGGGGGAAGTCAGACCCCTGAGTCATATAACTTATGCTGGGCTGCTTTGCTGAAACCATAACAGTGTGTGGGTGTCCAGGCCTGGCTACTCGGGAAGGAAAGGATTCCCAGAATTCCTAAGGCTATGGTCCTGGAATCTAGGCCCCTTCTTAGGCTGAGATGTCAACTGGGAGTTGAGCAGCTTGAGAATGAAATTTAGGAAGCCAGCCTTACAAGAACACCCAGCAGGTCATGCATAATAAAGCAGATGAGGGCAGAATGAGAGCTACTGTCAGCCAGCATCCCTGCAAACACCCAAGAGTCCACTAAAGATTGGGCAGATGGGAGGTGATATTGCCTTAGGAAGTTTGTTTGGGTGGGGTTGGGAAAGAGTGTGAGCAACTGAACCAAAAGGCCCAGGGGACTGTAGAGACCTGGGCCAATGGTTGAGGGCTAGGGCACAGTAAGGGACCTGGGGATTCACACACACAACTAAGGGGAACTAACTTTGTGTTGGGAGATGAAGGAGTAAAGGGTCGTGTGCTTCCCATCGCCCCACCTGGGCCTCCTACCCCGCTGGGCCATCGCTGGTATTCTAGGCTTTGCGCTTCCACCGCCCCCACGCATGCCTCCACTGGGAGCGGCCTGACCACTGCACGACGCCTCAAGGGGCGGGGTCTCACTATTAAATGGGGCCGGAGGCCGCGGCGCCGCCCCCAGGACACAATCCGGGCGACAGTGAGGGCCAGCTCGTTCTGTCCACAGAGCCCGCTGCGTTAGCGACGCATCGAGTTCTCGGTGAGCGGCATGCAGCTCCTGATGAGGGTGCCGTCTCTTCCAGAGAGGGATGAACTGGACTGCAACATATGCTACCGGCCCTTCAACCTCGGGGACCGCGCGCCCCGCCGCCTGCCCGGGACGGCGCGCGCCCGCTGCGGCCACACGTTCTGCACCGCCTGTCTGCGCGAGCTGGCGGCGCGCGGCGACGGCAGCGGGGCGGCGGCGCGCGTGGTGTGTCTGCGCCGCGTCGTTACCTGCCCTTTCTGCCGCGTGCCCACCCCGCTCCCGCGCGGTGGGGTCACGGAGGTCGCTGTGGACCCCGACTTGTGGTCGCGGTTGGAGGAAAAAGCGCGGGCCGAGCGCAAACCAGATGAGGCGGGTAGCCAGGACAGGGAACGCCGCGACGCCGACCAAGAGGACGAAGAGAAAGAGAGCGAGAAGGGGGCGGGGCCTAGGGGCAAGGGGTGGCGCGCGCTGCGGAGACTCTGGTCCGGGATGCTGGCCCCTGTGCGCCGCGAGCGGCACCCGCTGCCTAGCAACGGTGAGGGGTGCCCCTCCCCCGGGGTGGCTGCGGGCTGGGAGGCAGAGGATGCCCAGGAACACCGGGGTTCAGTTGCATCCTCCGCTGCCACTATAACCACTCATCTTTCCTCCAGTGCTGTACTGTCCGGAGATCAAGGACTTAGATCACAGGACCCGCTCCACACTGTAAACGCGGAAATGGGAAGCTACGGTGGAAGGAAGGTGGGAGCTGCATTCTCAGGGTGTGCTTTAGTACAGGGACTTGATGCCAAGGCTATCCCTTCTCCTATCCCGGATTGGCACTGATGAGGGAGTTGGGCAGACGGCAGGAGGGAACGTCCTGGGAGTGTTGATGTGGAGCTGGGGGAGGCTCCTAGTCTAATCGCCCCCATCTACACACTGTGCCACCTAAGACATTAGGATGGAGTGGCTCAAGGATAATAGTAATGAAGTCTGCATTCCCGTGAGACGATGATAGTTTTCTTAGCTGTGACTAGCTTTTGTCCAGGGCAGCTCTGGGGTGTAGGAGCAACAGGTCATTTAGCAATTGTGCCAATGACTGAAACTTTTTAAAACGATGGGAGAGAAGAGGCCAATTTTCATGTCATGTTAACCTCTTCTCTAGCAGGTAAGAGAGCGGAGAAAAATAAGCTGATGGTTTTTTTTCTTCCCTCAGTGCTGGTATGCCTGTCCCCTCACTCCTGGTACTGTTCCTAAAATTACTAAGCTGCCTTTTTAGCTTGCTTTGTTTTACAAGCTCCCTTCAACTTGTTAGGACAGGTATCATAAGGCCCAAATAGGCACTTATCTGAGGCACCTAATTAAGGCCTATCAAGGATAGAAGGGAGAACTATTTGGTAAAGGCATATGAATTTAAAAATACTTGTATTATCTGTGTTATCTTTACAGTCACAGGGAAACACTGTCACTACTGAAAAAAGATGCTCAACATAGGATTTTAAACTTACATCCCATAACCGGACATCTGTTTTACACCTTGGATTCTATTTTAAAATCCTGTAAATATAATTGTAGTTATAGTCAACAATCAACAGCACTGCATCACTGGGAGATTGTTGGAAGTACAAATTCTCAAGATTCCACTTCAGACACTGAGTTTTAACAAGAATCCCAGGTGATCCATGTGCATATAAATTAAGTGGCACTGGTCCAAGCCCTCAATTATCTGTGATATTACATCTGTGGATGGAATATTTAAAACACAACTGGTATAAGTAACATACTACTTTATATTAAAGGTTCTGAAATGAGTTTGTTGCTGAAAAAATCTAAATCCTTTTTGTGCAGTTTGCTTATTGAGTTGCATTTCCCTCTGAGTTAAAAATGTGAACTTGTTAAGCATAAACTTTAGATTTTCTGTCCTTAGGGAACTCAGCTTGTATGTTCCCTTTTTGGGGTGGGGGGGGCTTTCTCAGTATTCCATTTAGTATAGCTCCTCAGAGTTGCAAATTATCATTTTGTTTTGACTGCTTTATTTTCTGATAGTATCTTTTGTGGGTGTAAACTCCTTGAGAGGGATGACTTGACTTGTGACTATTGTATTTACAGGGCTAACAGCAGTGTTATAGTATGTATTCAACAAATGTTTGATTTTCTTTTATTTTTTAATATAATATGATAGCCTCAAAAGCTAAGTGTCTCGTCTCTCAACCTGAGAAGCTCTGGTAGCAAACAATACATGTTAAAGAAGTGTCTAGCAGTTCAAATCTCTGGCAAACTGTCAGGTATGACCCCCACCCAACTCCTTAGAAAACAAACTTCAGCTGCATACTTGG